TTCTCTTAAGCGCACGAAAAAGTTTTAAAACTTGTTTTTTGAACAATTTTTGCTGCTAATGGTGGTGCTGAACATTTGAAGTGTGTTGTACATGTTCTTCTTTCTTTTCCATGTTTGCCATATTCGTACTTTTGTACTTCAGAAATACCAAAGTACTGAGCAGTACGAAGAAGTATATAGAGGTATCTCCGATTACGGTGAAATATAAGTACACGCATGAGTTTAGAAGTTTCTTCATATTTCTTTATAATTTATGTACAACCCCAATATGTCGCATATCATAAGACAGTTAATAGTCGTATATGATTTAGCTATCCCATGACATTTCTGTAACAGCGAGAGTTAGAACCGACAGGATCCTTTCCTTAGCGGTACAGGTAGAAATGGGCAAACGAATATACTAGTAGGAATCATTCTTTATTTTCTGATCTTAGAACAATCAAGTCAGCGTATTGCTTAGTCATATCTGCATCCAAATGACTGCAGTAATCATATAACAGTCCTTTTTTCATGCTTTCTACTATTTATTTCCATAAGCTTTTTGTCTCTTGCTATCTATTGGGGAACAAAACTTGATAGGACTACAAATTCTATATCAGCTTCGCATATTTATTAGTGAGTCGTCAGATATAAGTGTTATTAGTTTATCGTATATTAAATTAATCCTTCCCTTCATATTATATTCACTGTTATTTCGTATATTTGTGAAAAATATATAGGAGTTACAGTTAATCTACAATGTTAAACAATTATTCAATTTTCGTTTGATAGCGATAACTTGATTTGAAAATGGATTACCAAAACATGACAAGTATTCTATCACGTTTTTTTGACTAAATTGAATAGCCGGGTGTATATTTTCTCACATAAACTATCTGCAAAGTCAATAAAATGTGTTTCATCGACGAAAAAACACGTCTAAATTCAATTTTCGTGGAACAACCATACAAAACTGAAAACAAAGATTAATAATGCTCGACAGAATAACAACCGTTCATCATGTAAAAATATCAATTAAGGGGTATAGATGTGTGGAAGAGTGAGAGTTATTGTCAGCGTGACTTTCGTTGGATGATAGTGTGAAGTCAAGAAAAATTTTCACCTATACTTCATCGTATTCAAGTCCTTTTTTAGACTAGAATAACAAGTTCATGAATTTAGTTTTATCTGACTAGAATATTGCATATTGTCAGCACTAGTTAATACAAGACTTTATAGAATGAATGAATAACTTTAACCTATAAAAATAAATATTATCTAATTATCAACAAAGTAATTCGTCGACAATGTATCTTGAAACAGCTTGGATTTGTTATCACTTGTTTGTTGTCGACTATGAATATTATATAACTTTCTAATTCCTAACTTCATTTGATGGTTCTTCAATAAGTTCATGTAAACAGCTATTTATCCTTTTCTTCTCTACAAGAGATTCGGCATGAATAAAAATCATTAATATTAAACAGTTACCCTCAACTACTTTAAAGTTACAATTATTTTGCCAATATTTGTACTTCATATTTTTCGATTACTTATCAAAGTTGTTTTATAAAAAAAGAAACAGTATTTTCTTGATAAAATTTTGATGACTTGTTAAGAAAAAAATTAATTTTTTTGAAGTCTGCTGTAAAACAATACACTCGGATGAAGCCACATTGTCCTTTAGAAAAGTAACTCGCAATGGAAACTATATACACATTAGATTGCTCATTTATAATTGCTTCTGTGTTTCACTGTAGATAAATATCAATTAACGACAAAATAATTACAAAACTCATATCTTAGTTCATATTATATGACTCTTCAAATACGATTATTTCTTTATTGCTGCATGAAGTACTGATTATCCTTATCAATATTTTTTTAATGCAATCGAGAATAAAATCTACAGTAGAAATTTGTTTTTTATGATAAAAAAGCTCGATTATATACAGGGGCTTAAGTCACCTCTGAAGGCAGGGGGCGTACAGGGGTGTATACGAAGGAGGAGGGGGGAGGGGGCGCAGAGGGTATTTAACATAGAAAAGCGCCCAAAATGTGGGCCTGCGTAGTTAAATTTATAAAGTAAAAGGGGGGGGGGGGGGGCGTAACGTCCCACGCACCGCCCCCTATTTACGCCCGTAATTATATATGATGGCTAGGATTTAAAAATGTGAAGTGTATTATCTATTGATTATATCAATAATAGTAACAATATATGACGAATGAAATTGAACAGTTTATTCTAACACATCCAGGTCGAATATAATGACTCGTAGACGATCGTAAACAATATGAAAACAATGAAGAATGGTTAACACAAACAATAATATTTACAATACATAATAAAATGTCGAAATAATTCAATAAACGGAGGTCTTTTAAGGTAGCCATTAACACACTACAGAAAATGGCGGCTATTACAACTGTCATTTTGTTGTCATTATGTCTTATGTTATTCGAATTCAATAGAAGTATGTTTATGTACTTACTTTTCAATTAGATTAGAAATGGGCTATTTATATTCATGTTTTATTCGATTTGAAGTCATTTATGAAGAACGGACGAACAGAACGAAAGAGGGTGTGGGTGCTATCTCAAAAAATGAATTCAAATTAAATCAACACTTGCCTTGCTATTCATCTATTTGAGACTATGGTGGTAATTAATTCATTACAAGTCTTTTATATAACGTCGGTGTGGGTGTGGGTGGGGGTGGGTGTGTAGGTGTGGGTGTGGGAGTGAGTGTACGTGTTGGTGAGGGTGTGGATGTGCGTGTGGGTGTCGGTGGGTGTGCGTGTGGGTGTGGGGTGCGGGTGTGGGTGTGGGGTGCGGGTGCGGGTGTGGGTGTAAATGTGCGTGTGGGTGTGGGGTGCGGGTGTGGATGTGGGTGTGGGTGTCGGCGGGGGTGCGTGTGGGTGTCGGCGGGGGGGCGTGTGGGTGTGGGCGTGATTGAAGAAATGCGCAACACACACACACCCATACCCCACACTCACACACACCCACACCCACACCCACACCCACACACCCCACACCCCCACCCCCGCACCCATACCCCACACTCACACACACCTACACCGACACCCACACACCCCACACCCCCCACACCCATACCCCACACACACACACACCCACACCCACACCCACACCCACACACCCATACCCATACCCCACACTCACACACACCCCACACCCATACCCCACACTCACACACCCACACCCACACTCACACACACCTACATCCACACCCACACACCCCACACCCCCACACCCATACCCCACACTCACACACCCACACCCACACACTCCACACCTCCACACCCATAACCCACACTTACACACACCCACACCCACACACCCCACACCCTCGAATAATATTATTCAGAAAGATAATACAATAATCTATCTGTAGGCATTTATTCATTATTGTTCAAAATAAGAAGCATTTTATGCATAATCATGTTCAAGAAAGACGCTTTAGATGATCAAAACACCAATAAACGAAAAGGAAGTAAATACAATTCTATCCTATCCAAGGAATGAAAACAAACAATTTCATAACTTTCATGAATTTTGTATCGAAAAAAAAAGCGGAAAAAATAGCGTTTCCGAGTACGAAACGGACAAAAACATTGTTTTTTTTTCGTCTAAGTCATTTCGAAATCAAGCGAACGCCATGAAAATTAGGTTTAACGAGAATTATGATCGTGATTTCGGTTAAAAATAATTTTCATGGCATTCATTTCATTTCAAAATGACTGGGACGAAGAAAACATCAATGTTTTTGTTCATTCTATCATTGTAATGCAATTTTTTTCATTTTTCAATGCCTAAGTAATATCCTGAATGATAGTTTCAGTTTTTGTATGTGTGCTCTTTGAAAAATGAGCACATTTTGTCCTGTGATATTCTTAAATAGAAATTCCAGAATACTTTTAAGCTTCTCTTCAACATCTTCCAACTCTTGCGTGTAAAATCATATTGGACACTCGCATAACTTCTGCAGAAAAATGTGATAATTTACACCTACGACGTCGAAATCTTCTCTTCGTTTGTATTTTGTCCGCTGAAATGAAGGCAACAGTATATCTATTGTATAAATCTTCAGAACTTAACGAATTATCTAGTTCTAATTATAGTTTTGAAGTTATTCTATTTGAAAAATGATTGCTTTCATATTACAAAAAAAACAAGAAAATATCAAATAAGATGTTGCAGTGCTTGAACATCTTTTATGCTATGAAATCGTCAATAAATAGAGATTTTTCCAATATTATGACTAACCATCTAAATTGAGATAGTTTTCATGACAGGAAGATTTCGAAAGGTCACTTTTTTCAACTTCATTTTGTTTCTGTTACATAATCTATTCATTTCAGATATTCTTCAATTTTTTCTAATATGTATACCTATTCAGTTGGATGTGATTAGTTTTTCCTTTTCTGCATCCGCTTCTCATTTAACATGAAGTGATTTTCACCTCTGGTAAGTATAACTGTTTTATCTCATTCACTCACTCTTGTGATGTCCTTATGACTATAGTTACTATCTACTCAATTCCAATCGCTTGTTTATAGATATCATGGATCTTCATGTCATATAAAAAATCATTATTTTTCACAAATAAGAATCATTATGAATACTTTGATTAATATTTCAATGGTGCTATTATTTTATATGATCTAAATAATATTTATTTACCAATTTGTTTTGAAATCTATGTAACATAATCCAGACTATCTAATATCATTATCTTCAAAAGAGAATATTGTTATTTATATATGTGATGCATTTAAACGAAATAAATGCTCATCAAATGAATTGTCGAAAAAATTTTTAAAAAACTTCTTTTTATTCAAAGTTTATAATTGTATCAATTTTTTTTTATTCTTATTTATTTTATCCCAATTAGATGATACAATTTTACACTTTACAAAAAATTAAACCAAACAAGAAAAAGACAAAATGAAAAAATAAAAAGCATAAACGTTTTATTTTAACATTAAAAAAATACATCTTCATCAATACCCTTCGTCACAACTGCAGTAAACATTATCTTCTGGAACTTTTTTCGATTCATCAATTATTGTAGCTGTACGAACAGCTTCTGCTTCACGATGTTCTGTAGGTGATCTACTATATTTTCGTAAATTAATAGGTGAAGAATTCATTTGGGGATAATCGTAAACTGATGATGCATTTGATAAACTGCGACACCGACGAATACTTGAAGCATATGAACCACTTTCTACATTCTGCAATAGAAAGAGTAACATATTGGAATTTTATATAATCAATACTTACTTCATTACTTTTCAAACAATTATCTGTTGAAGATGTATTTGATCAACTTCGACGCCCACGAATATTAGAACCATATAAAAGATTTTCTAAATTCTACAAGAGAAATATTGAAAAAAATTAAATTTTTTGTATGATGAATATTTACTTTGTCAAATTTTAAACGATTATCATTTGATGGGCTTCGTCGTCGATGAATATGATTAGAACCATATAAACGATTTTCTAAATTCTGCAAGAGAAATATTAAAAAAAATTACATTTTATATGAATATTTACTTTATTAACCTCCTGCATACCGACAATTCTTGCGTTCTTTACGATCTAATAAAAAAATCGAAAAGTCACTCTCTCTTGCGTTCAGTCGTCGTGAATCAGCTGCGTACGTATATAATTTATTGCACATGAAATGTGGATTGATACAGCCGTATTACTGAACATTTCGCTTCACAGCTTTTTATCGATACGACAGAACGAAAAAATTCTTGCGTTCTGCTTGTTTTCGGCCTGAAGACGGCGGTATCCAAAAGGTTAAATTTTAAACTATTATCCTTTGATGGGCTTCGACGTCCACGAATATGACTAGAACCATATAATTGATTTTCAACGTTCTACAAAAGAAATATTAAAAAAAACTACATTATATGTGAATATTTACTTTATTAAATTTTAAATTATTAGCATTTGATGGACTTCGACGTCGACGAATATGATTAGAACCATACGAACGATTACCCACATTCTGAAATAGAAACATGACAAAAAGAAATATTCTACATGATCAACACTTGTTTTATTAATTTTTAAAGCATTATCTAATGAAGACCTATTTGATGAACTTACATACCGATGAATATTGTTAGAACCATGTGAACGAGTTATTACATTCTGCAACAGAAACATTAAAAAAATTGAATTGTATGTAATCAATACTTGCTTTATTAACTTTTAAACTGTTATCATTTGATGAATACCGATGAGAACGAATATTCGTTGAAGCATGTGAACGATTTATTGCAGTCTGGAACAGAAACATTAAAAAAGAATTTTATATGCCCAATACTTGCTTTATTGAGTTGTAAACTGTTATCTGATGAAGACCCATTTAATAAACGTCGACCCGAATGAATACAAGAAGAACCATATGCAGGATTTTGTACATTCTGAAATATAAATAGAAAGTAATATGAATTTTACATACTTAATAAGGTAGCGAAAATGCAAAATTTCAGTGATTTTTTTTTCTTCCATTAATATATTGTTCGATAGAGTGAGAAAAGCTGATCACGAATAGGGGTGTGAATGTGGGTGTGGGTGTGGGTGTGGGTGTGAGTGTGGGTGTGGGTGTGGGTGGGTGTGAGTGCCCCAGGTGATTCGATCCGACTGTCGGATTACGTCGGATTATATCGGATTATATCGGAAAAATTACCGGATTTTAACGGATCCGACGGGAACTCGTCGGAAGTTGTCGGCGTCCTAGCCACAGGATTCCGACAGGAGGTTCCGGATGTCGGAATAATCAGGATCCTGCGAAATCCCTGAAACTCCGACACTTTCCGACATCCAGAACCACTTGTCGGAATCCTGTGGTTAGGATTCCGACAAATTCCGGCGAATTTCTATCGGATTCGACAGGGTGAATTCGACCTGGGTGTGAATGTGGGTGTGGGTGTAAGGGAAAAAGACGACACCTAGACACCCGCACCCACTCACACCCACACCCTCGTAATGAATATTTTTTATTACACAAATAATATAAAAGAAAGGAAGGGTGAATGGTTTATTTCTTCTCATTTCGGTTTTGCAATCTAAGAAATATACTCTTTCGGGCATTACACTCACTGTTTTATTTTCTTTCTATTCAGTCATACAATACATCAGCCAGATTAGTAAGGTAAGATTAAGGTTTACCTAGCTAAGCATTGAAGCAGCATTACAATATTATTTTTCTTTCCTAGGATGTATCAACACAGAAAGTGTAAAACTCTGATGTATTATGCATTCAGTAATTTTGACAAACATTCATTGAACGTCCTGCAGTATTTAACTGTCAATTTTTTGGTTCAGAAAAATTTCGAAAATTTTCGGAAGAGACTGGAAGACTGCACAGTTACTGATATTTGATCCTTATAACTGTTTTTTTGGTGTCAGTTCTATCCGTTCGATTTGAACATCGAATCTCATGTTTTCTTTCAGTAATATTTGAGCGCTGAAGCATAAATACAGAAACTAAGTATTCGGTACTTTTGGCGAAGAACATTTAATTACCGCTTGTTCCGGGTCCAATAAAGCTACAACAACTTCTTACAGATTTTCCTTTTTTCTTGAATTTTTTTGTATTAGCTAACGATGAAAATTAAGTACTCGAGCAAGTTCTTCCACTGCCGCTGTCAACCTTATTCTAGATGAGTCTTGTTCATGCTCCGAAAGATTTGTTACTTCTCATGTACAATTGAGAGCGCACACCATACAGCTCCAACCACTCACACTTTAAAGAGTTTCATATTGTATGAAAAAGGAAAAATTGTTTCAACACTCTAGGAAAAGAGTTTATTATCCCATTTGCACAGATAATAAAGCTATGTTTTCATCGAAAGCGCTGACCATTCCGATATTTGTCGAGCATCTCACAACTGAAACAGCTAAGAACAATTTCGTTCTGTTGCTTTTGTTTAATTGATTAGTGTGATACGAACTCTTTGAAATGTAAGTGATCATATTTTATGTATTATTTGGTGCGTGTGGGTATAATGTTAGTATGGGTGTGCATCTATGTGGGTGTAAATGTATATAGGGTGACGAAAAAGTTCTCGAAACATTTTGATTTTTATTAAATAAATAGTAATTCTGATCCGCTATTTGCATTAAATTTTCAAGGTACTCGCCCTGATTTATCACACGAAATCTCATGCAATCAACTAAATTGTTACGTATCTTTTGAAATCGAAAATATGAGAGTGTATATGTGAGAGATGACGCCCTCACACCGAAATTACCGTAGCGAATCTTTTATTCGACTAGCATCATGGAACATATTTTCAATTCAGCTGATGATTCAGATTAATGAACAAGGACTGAATGTTTTATTTACAAAAGAAAAATCAAAGTTATCGATAATTTCGAAATTTTATCGTTTTGTTTAAAGAAGTGTTTTAGCTGAACATAGCTATAATTATTCTGGATTGAGCATTGTTCTATATGTATGAAAGAAATTCGTCAGTTCTTCGCTGAGCTTGCTACATTCAATTATGAATGAATCAGATATTGTTCCAGATTGATAATTGAGAGATAAGGTACCTTTCACTTTTTCTTTGCAAGGTTTTCCTTCGGCTTTTGCACTCTGATATGCAGTTATGAGCTTTGTCCATTCGCTTGATTCAAGGTTTTTGAAAACAGGTGTTCCACCACTATATTCTCTGCTGTAGCTGTTTCTAAGACCGAAAGGCTTGTATTGAAATGTAACTAAATTATCAGTTGTTTTGGCAAATATTAATTCATTATTGTATCCATCCAACACAGTTAGTTTCTCAACGACATTCGTTTCCAATGATCCAGTTGATTTATCAGGCTTTAAACACATCGAAATATTATTATTCGACATAATGAACTGATCTAGATGAAAGTAAATGAAAACAGTACCTTATTTAAAAATGTTTAGTGACGAGAATGTATGAAAGCAATAACCACGAGTAAATCAAAACAAAAATACAGCGCACGTTGATATTCCTAATTATTCGTCATAACTACCTCAATCGGAAAGCGATAAAATGAAAGAACAGAGCAAAATAAAAAAGTTTTTTCTTACGTTGACAGCCATCATGCATCATGTATAAAAAAAAACAGTCACTTTCTCAGCATGAGGTCAATACTCATGTTCGTAAGCAAATGCGAAATATAGTTCCAAGCTCTGGCGAATGCTTTACTTCAACATCGTCCCTTTCTAACTTTTTCACGAAATTCATATGAGTAATGCCATGGGATCCCAGACGGTTAATACACAAAGTTCTCTCAGTCAACACATATGATTTGCTTCCTCGACTGGTGAAAGGGTTATATGAAATAAAATGAGTTTGTGTGCTTGAAATCACATGTTTAGTCGTGGCCACACACACTTGCTACTTATATACTCCTTACAAAGTTTAACCGAACGTTTTAAAAGATGGGCCGTCAAATTCTCTACAAAACTGGAAGAACCAGGTCCTTTCTGTGCCAATAGGCATATTATCTTATATGATATCTTCTCTTCCTCAGTGTGTTCTGGTACAATCAATGATACTTAGTGTTCATAATTGTGTTACTCTTACGTTCATCTATGCTCGATTGAACCTCGTTGTCTTTCTGTCGTAATGCGCTTTCTATTCAATCTTATGTTATAAATATTGTTTACATCTATGTGTTCTTAGGCTATTTTTCTTGGATATCTATTCTCTCATTAGTCTTATGATTTTTCTTTTCATCCTTTCTTATTCTAGTCATGTATATAAACGGTACAATTGTATGATATGAAGAAATGTGCCGAGAAGCATGTCATCTCTTCCGATGACGCCAATCATTATTACGTCATACGATGCTAACAATCACATCTTCTCGATGTCATTATATCAATAGAATTTACATAAAAAGAAGATAGACGTCCTTTCAACAACTTTTGACTAATAATGTAATGAGTACTATTCTGTTATATTCTTCCTCTTTCCCTTCTCTCTTTTGTATTGTACCATCTATTCTCTCTTCTCCTCTATCTTCCTCCTATATAAGCTCATGTTATGCATCAGATTGTTACATTTGGATGTAGTGCACAGTCGAATAAACATTATGCCCATAATAGAATCTAAGACATTAATGTGTCTCTCCACTTGTCAGTAATAGAAATATATTTGTATATTTTTTGTTACACTTTCGACTTGTGTTGATGTTCCTTTCTAAACTCAGAAGTGAAGTCTTACGTGATAGTAAAATGTCTCACACCTATAAGAATGACAAATATATTGTTGCATCTCAAGAGAGGTTGTTGATTTTTATTCGAGATGAAGGTTATGATCGTATGGCGGGTGTAAATGGAAATTCCGTGATTCATCTATGCCGATTCATAAGTTAAACAGACCATCTCACGAGTGTCCTTGTCACCCTTACAATCGTGGAACATTCCGCTATCACGTAAGACTTTGGTTTTTAAGTTTAGAAAAGAACATCAACATGAATCAAAAGAACCTTGCTCTTCCAGTTTTGTAGATCATTTTATGGCGCATCTTTTATAAAATATTCAGGGTTTTATGTTTTAATCGTTCCAGGATATCTACAAAATAAGCAATGTTCCGATGATTTTGAAATATCCAGTGGCGCATCCAAGAATCTTTAAGTTATGAGCCGTACCCCAGCTAAATTATTTTTAGGAATGGATAGCAATAGGTAATTAAAAATCAATTAGGTTACAATTTTCTAAACTTGAAGCTGTGGTTGTGAGTATTACATCACTCTATTGATATCCACACCCATACTCACACTTTCATATAAAAATACAGAAATATCATGTTGGAATCTAACCACCTAACATCAATATCAACGATTAATAAAGAAAACTGTATTTAATGCTCACAATTGATTAACAGATATTTCAATATTGAGAGTACATGAATTAAAATTAAAATATGCTTGCACATCGATAAAGATCTACCAAAGTTTATAAAATGTTTTCCTTTTTATACGATGAATATTGAACATGAATTGAACTGTGTCTTTCTTTATGAATATATTATA